TTCCTGCTTGATTTTCTGGATGAAAATTCCTAATTGAATTCCTTTAGATCACTTGTCCTTAGTCCTTTTTACAGTTCATGATAAAATTAATTGCATTTTTATAAAAGAAAGACATCCAGCTAAACTGGATTTTTCAAAAAACTGATGTTCTAGGTTTTGAAAGCCATAGGCTACCTATTTGGAGCACTTTGCAAGTGTAATGTATTATGAAAGAGATCTGTCTCAGATCTGTCTCAGATATGAATATCAGAATTTTTTAAAAAGTTACTTATCTCTCATTCTCCATTCCACTTTTTCCCAAGCTGCCAACCTGTTCAAGCATTCATCTCCAGGTTATAGTGCTTGTTAAAATATCTCTGGTCGCTATTTTCTAACTTGGCAATTGCCTTCAAATAGTTCTAGCCAATGGCTGGTCTCTCAGACAATAGTTTTGCTCTTCAGAAAATGATTATTTTTTCCCATAATATAAAGTTTTTTTAAGAGAAGAAAAACTTGATTCTCTGATGTAGCCATGAGGAAAATTTCTGTCATGCACAAATATGGAAAAGCAATGAAACACACAAAAAATTAGGATGTTAAAACACAAAACTGACTAAAGAATGTGACATTCAATTTCCTGTCTTGTCATTTTATGTAAACTATACCATTATTATACAAAATCCATGCCCATCAGCAATATTGTATCATTTTCTGAAACCAGAAATGACAAATTACCTTTTTAATCTTGTACTAGGTAAATTAAAATAAATTAACTTTTTATTTCTCTGGTTTTGTTTGTGGAGAGATCAAATCATTTTTTGAAATGGTAATGTTTTTTTCTGAGATTCAACTTTTCAAAACTTAAAAACCATAGACAGTTTATAAAGACCATGATATTCAACCTAAAACAACTTTATAGGGGCTACATGAGGGCCTAACTTTCAAAGCCTTCCTTATAACTGCTGCTATTGATAGATTAGACCAATCTTCCCCCTGGGATCTAGGGAGGTTCCCAAACTTTTTAGATTTCTAGAAGGCTCTTTTCCCAAGCATTGGGACACGAGTGATGCCGGAACTTGGAGATGGATTTGTTGGTTGCATCAGAGAAGAATGGCTGAGGCATCAGATTTGGGTTTTATTGTTTTTGTTCCTTTTTTGGGGAAGCAGTGCAATTGTTGTTAGCCACCCAGAATTGTGTTTTTAAGATGGGCAGCCACATGACTTATAAATAGACACAGACAGACATATATTCATACACTAGCAGGCAATAGGAATATGGTAATCCAAAACATAAACCTAAAAATTACAACTACACATACAACTTTCATCTGATTATTGTGCTAAATCAAGACATTTAAAAATCCAGTAGAAATCTCTATTTAGCTTTGTCTACAATTTTGTGCCAATCACTATCTCTTAATGTAGCCTCCTGCTGAGGGAGGAAAAAAAATAGAGGCAGGGGTTCCACACAAGCTGCTTTGAGTTTGTTAAGGAAAAGCAGCTTAAATATACAACAAGCGATGAATTAATTAAAAATGCTTTGTCATTTGATACTTTATGACCAACCTGAAAATATGAAATAAATTCATAAAATTAAATGTATACAATAATGTGAAGTTTGTTAGGGATAACATTGTTTACCCTAACTGGTTTGGGTAAAAATATAATAAATAAGTTATCATGGTTTGTTGGTTAAAGTGTGTGTAACTTTAACTACAAGAATGTAATTAAGGGTGTGGTTGTAAAAGCACCATAAAAGAAACAAGTCAATTGCAGCTCTCTCTCTCTGGCTTAATGATCCCTAATTACTGGATGGATTGATGACTGCGTTTTTCCTTACTGGAACGGAGGAGAGAAAGGAGTGTTGATTTCTCAAGGAGAGAACAGATAATACGGACTGATTTATTGTAAGTGAACTGACATTGGCTATTCAACACGGATTTTGCAAATTGAGTATCCCCGACTGGACTGACTGAAATGATACATGACTAATGGACCGTTTATTTTGACTATGCTATAATTCCTAATGGAATCAACTATATTTTTGATAGCACAAGCGTATCTTTTTTTTTACTGCGTGTTAACTAAAATACAAACTTATCTCACACATTTACCTGTCTGCCTATCTGACTACGCTACACATTCTGTTTAGTTTGTTTTCCTTAACACTTGTTGGGGAATTCAGGCTTAACAAAGTTCATTGCATCATTACCAGTACCACTCACTTTTTAAGAGAGACTTGTTCTGTGCATGCTCACTGTGAAGGCATGAACGGCTCAAGGTGTTTTCTTTCTTGATTATAATATTTACTAAACAAAATAGAAGCAGCACAGAATATTTTGGTATCTTGGGCAGCCATATTTCAACTAATTCAATTATGTAGATACAGGTTTATACTTCTTCCTAAGAATTATAGTACAAATGCAGTTCCAGAAACTGAAGTGAGCCTTAGGCAATGTTACATACAATGCAGGGTTGGATACTCAAGAGAGGCATATTATTCTGAAATCAGGAATCAATAGAATTGTTTGTATTCTTTATCAAAATCCTTTAAAAGGAGCTTATCAAAGCTTGCTCTGTCGTTGAAAATGGGACAGATATTAAATTGCTGCTCCATTTTTATCTCTGCCTTTTTCAGTTAGTGCACAGTGAGTTGCTAAGCACAGAAAACAAAAGTTGTTAATTTTTCTGACAGTCACATCTACATGTGTAAATACATCATAGGCCTTATGCTATAATGGCACAAAATCTTTTCATGTGATCAAAGCAGCTGCTACATAGAAGTGCCAATTCATAGGAATGGTCCTTCTCATAAGTACAGCCTAGCCTTGGACTTACTGGTAGCCTGGCACATTCCCAAATCCTTTGAACTTTTATTTACTAGCCATACGAAAGCAGGATCCTGAATTGGAGGGAAAGGATTTAATGTCACCTGAAACTGGAATAATATTCTCTGAGGATATACTTCCCCTCCAGATACTAGGTAATGCCATCCCATTTGGTTTATTACTTGTATATTTCAATTCATTTTTTTTAACTGGAGAATGGCCTCCAACTTTTGTGTTCAAATAAAAACATCTCAGCTTCTCTCTATTTTTCCATTTACCAAAGACTGCATGGGTTTTTATTTTATATGAAAGGTGTTACTGATTGAGGCCTAAAAACTCTTTTCATGTGCAGCTTATATATGGCATGGCTTGTGAACTACTTACTATAGTACGCAAAACATTTTAAGTATCTTCTTCACAGACTGGACATTTGTTCAAGTGCATTTATCTCTCCTTGTATCCAACCATGCCTCTGTACTTAGTTAAGAGTAATGCATTGAATTTGCATTTAAATGATACACGTAAAAAAAAATTCAGACTGTAAAGAGAAGCCCACAAGTTACATTAGTGGTTTATTTTTTTCATACTTATCTATTTTAAAAGTAAGCAATTCCGTAATTTTGAGCAGATTGCAACTAAATTCAAACTCTATGCTTTGCGCATCAGTCTTTTTATTAGTTATGGTTATTACTAGAAATTTGATTTTATTTGGTTCGTTTTAAAAGTGCAAATTAAGTCATAGAGTAATAGTATGCAGCCTAGAACACTCCAAACAATGTCTGTGGAAGAAATGGCATATTTAAAAAGCTATGTTGGTCAGAATAATAGCATCTTACAAGTGTCATCAAACTTCCTACCTACACCAGTACCGTAGATAATAAATATTTTTTTGTGAATAGACTTATATTGCCAATAATATATTATGGGGCTATGCTGTTCTATATGTTATGATTCTGAAAACAATTGTGTTAGTTAAAAAGTTTTGTTAGCAACAGAGAGAAATAAACTTTGTTACTCTTTTTATTTATCTTACTACAAAGTTGCCTAAAACCTCTTTGCAAAGATTGTAAAGTGGGCAGAGCCTGAAATCGAGAGGAGATGATCTTGAGTGAGAGGAAAAGTATATAACTTTTTGAAAAACCGTTCATGTCTTTCTCCACAGCTTATAACATTCAACTGGATTCCTCAACCTTATCAGAATATTTTCTAAAGGGTCTAAGGGTTGGTAGATATTAGAGGAGTCAGCTTACACATGATGCTTTCTTCATTCTGATCATAGTCTACAGCCACATTTGTACACATCTGTTATATCCTTTGTGCCTGGCTTCAAAAGGCTATTTGAAGATTTTTCCAGGTAGCCTTTTAAAATTAACTTATGTTCCAGTGAATATGTACAAGAAAGATTTTCTATGCACATGACAATATTTCATTTGTTATATCAACTGAGATACCATTCATTCCCCCTTTTTTTCAGAATTTAGGGTGCCTTGTTTTCCTTCCATATTCACTTGTTTTATGCTCTGTGTCTTTCCCATGATCTGAAAAACAGCTTGTGACTTTGAAAAACTACTGTTTTAAAAACATCTTTTTTGATTATATAATTTATATAAAAGCTAAAGTCATTGAAGCAGGTGGCAAGCAAGTTTAATAAAGTATTACTAGCAGTTTTGCTAGCAAAATTATCCCAACTTTTTTATAAATTCCAGAAATAACTTTTTAAATGTCAGACAATGAGATTATATGGAAGTATTTTTATCTTGGACTTTTCATTGGTTCTTAGAAATAGTAAACAACAGATCTGATTTAGAGCTAATTTCATTTTTAGAATATTGTGATTCTTGGATTAGGCTGTTAGATTATCTTCTTCCATCCACTGCCTTTTGTTCAACACTTAGAAAAATATACTTAATGAAGGATGTGTCAAACAACCTAGTCTAAATATTTTGTTAGGGTTAGGGTTAATCCATCCATCCCATCCATTCTTATCTCTATTTGTAATATTTGTGCTTGTTTTTCTGCATTAATGCACAGGTAATTCTTTATTGGTTGACAAACTCCTTCAGTACCAACTAAAGACACTCTCAATATCAAAACATGCTATGGGATCTACTACTTCAGACTTGTATATGAAGAAAGCTCTGCATGGCAGAAATTAAACTCACAACTTATGTTGAATAATTATAATATTCTTACCATTCTGATTATTTTGGGGTAAGATGGAGAAAACCAAAAGGCTCAGTTGTCCAGGTATGTGATAATAGTTCTGTGCAATGTTTGAGAGTGCTGTTGGCACAGGTGTATAATAAGTTAACTATTTTATTCCTCGTGCCATCAGTGCTTACAGTGATGAGCATGAAGGGGACAAAGTTAATTAAGATCTATTAAAAAGTGCCACAGGAACATTTAAAGATAGACAATGCAAGTTAGAGAGTGTAAATATAACTATTTGTTAATGGAGTAGGCAGCTGCAGTCAGTGTTAAAAATTACTTGATGCTTTTTAAGTTAGCAAAAGCTACTAATTAAAGAGAGCAATGACCTGTGAGATTGGCCATGAAAACCATTAGCCATCTGAATATAACTTTAGCTTTCAGGGTTTCTCCCAGCTGTATCTTCTTGACACACACTGAAAATTGTTTCATTTAGTTAATTTTTCCCCCTTCAGTAACAGCTGATCTTAATCCTTCAAGTTAAAATTAAAAGTGCATTTTTAATTCTCATTAATAAAAGATTAACACAAAAGAAACAGCAAACACTGTATACATTAGCCTTATAATAATATTATGACAGTTGTTTGAAGTCATGGTCTGGTTCTGAGATTCTTAATTAACCCCAAGTAGATTTTGTGTGCAGGAGATAGTTGTTTGTAGCTGTCATTGCTCAGCGATGGAACTGTTGTAAAAGAAAATTAACATCTCACTTCCCTTTGTGAAGTTCTTGGTCTTCTGATGAGAAAAATGTATACATTCCTTGACGGAGGCAAAGATGTTCTGAAATGAATTGCAAGTAAAATAACTCAACCCAATTGATTTTAAGCAGTTATTTGCTTTGGGGCAAAGCAGGAGAATATGGCATATGTTTATTCCAAGGAATTCAGTACTAAAGAGCTTTTAAAAAGGCATGTACTTTTAAAAAAACACTTTTCTTTGGAATTTAAATCAACATAATACTTCTGTGGCTCAATTCATGAGAATCTGATCAGTTGGATGTTCTAGTCTCATATCTTTTCTCTGGATTTTTTTTGTCTTTTCAAACAGAGAAAGATATAATTCTAATATGTTTGTCCAATTAGCTTGTAAAATAGAGCTTTATATATGCACCACTAACATTATTTAAATGTACATAACATTTAGTTTAGATTTTTTTGAAATAATATTTATATATTGGTAGAATAAACTATCCAGTCACACATAAGATGTTAAAAATGATACCTGACAATTCTGCGGTAAATTTATCCTGAGCAGGAAGGATTATTCTTACTTGCTTATTTCTTTGCTTATTTTAATGCAAATAAAGATATCCACTTAATCAGAAACTGCTTTCTCCTGGATCTTGATTGAGCAAATGTTATACATCAACTACTTGTCTCTATAGGTAAAGTAATATTTTCCAGAATTCACTTGCATTCTACAGATAATCCTTGACTTACAATCAATTGTTTAGTAACTTTTCAAAGTAACAGCAGCACTGAAAACAGTGACTTGGACTTATGACCATGGCAGCATCTCCACACTCATGTGATCAGAATCTGGTTACTTGGCAACTGGCATGTATTTATGACAGTTGCAGCATCCTGGGGTCATGTGATTGCCATTTGTGAACTTCCCAGTTGGCTTTTGATAAACAGAGTTAATTTGGGGAAGCCAGATTCACTAAACGCATGTTTCACTTAACAACTGTAGCGATGTACTTTAAAAAGTTGTAAAACCAGGCATGACTCACTCAACTCACTCCTTGCTTAGCAACAGAAATTATGATCATAGAACAAGGATTATCTGTATACTGATTGTAAGCAGGGGTGGGATTCAACTGGTGTTACCACCGTTTCGGTGATACATCTTGTGTGCGCATGCGCACTTTGTGTGCATGTCATACACCTAAAGCTGTGCCACACGGACAGCTGAAAAGCACTGCGCGTGGGTGCGCAGCGTTTGAAAAACCACTTTTTTACCACTTTTTCAACCTTAGCTTGTACCCTGCAAAGCAGCTGAGGTTGAAAAAGCAGGAAATAAAGGACAGTTAAGAGCCCGGGCAGGTGGGTGGGCCAAACAGCAGCAGACATAGAATGGTTCTGTATCTGCTGCTCTTCAGAGCTACCAGTTCTATAGAACTGGGCAGAACTGGTAGCATCCCACCCCTGACTGTAAGCAACCCCGAGTTACCCTGGGTAAGATGGGCAACTAATACATTTTACAAATAAAAATAAAATAAGTAATAAATATACTAGCACCAATCTAATGCTCAAATTATGTTTATTCAGTAGAAAAGTTTATATTCCTGACAAGGGAATACAGAAATGTATATATTTCAAGTCCAATTACTAATAGGGAGTTATCAAATGGAAACTATGGGAATTCTTAATTAGGAAAAAAATCCGTTTATTGGAAATCAATATTGAAGATGCCACCACAACATTAACCTACACAGCTGCAAAGACTGCTGTGTCAGTAAGAATTGGGATAAATAACATACCTCCATTATAAGTTTTGTAGATCAACAGTTGGCAAAAAATATGTGTAAAATAAAGTACATCTAATCACAAGGAAGCACAAGAAATATATCTAGCAATGCATGTTAGTATAAATGTGCCTTTCAGCCAAGGATTTAAGTTTAAAATGAGCCCCTGGCAAATGTTTTATTGTCAGCACTGGCTGACCAGCCGTGCTGCAGCAGGCTAAGTCTTTATGAACTTTGCTTATAAAAGTATCTTATAATTGTGGCAGCATATATAAAAAAAACACCTTTGTAATGGATGCTCTTAATAAAGTCCGTTGTAGTTTTATGAAGTATAGGTAATTGCTGCCACACAAGGTGCTTAAGAGCTTTTTACTTCTTCCCAGAATTCACACATTCTGATGAAATTCCATACAGGGAGAAAAAAGGTTAGGTCATAACATTTTGCTTAGTAGACTAAAATATAAAACTGCAGCTGTGTAATATGGTAGCTCAGAGAATCAAATTTTTCAAATGCACAGAAACTCTTAACAGTAATTATCCATTCTGTTCGATCCTCCTGTCTCTCACTGGCCTATCATTCAGTATATTTTCTAAAGAGATTTGTTCAAGTTTGTTATGGATAGAATATCTTTGCAGGGATTATCTGGGTGGCTGTTTCTAGGAGATAGGGCTGAAATACTTCTGTTCAACCACTTGGCATTTATGCTTGAGATAGCAAAAAGTTAAGGTTCTTCAAACAAGTGGATGAAAGGAATAAGTGATTGGGTAAGATCAGAGCAGGATGAGAACATGAGGGGTTAAATCAGGAATGAGTGGCTGCAATACCAGAAGTTTTGAGTTTTTCTTGGTTTGGATTTTTGTTGTTTGATTTTAGCTTTATATAGTATTTTTAACGTTTGGATATAAACCATTCAGAGTATGGTATTTAGATGGGTTGCTATACAAATGCAATAAATAAAAAGCAAATAAATAACTTTGTTCTATAATAAAGCACTCTCTCTAAAGGATCAACTTTGTAGTTTTGGAATGTTTCTAGAGCAAAGTCTGCCTTTAGTATCTGTACCACAAAGTTCCTTTTCAAACCTTAGACCAGAATAGGAGTTGAAGATCACACCTCTTAAAGTTCCCAGGGTTGAGAAACACTACCTTAGACCATATATACTCTTCAGTTTTACCTTGAGAGAAAGAGAACTCTGCCAGAGTAATCCTGTGTGTTGGAAATTTATATCAAAGACAGCTTGGAAAATTTAGCAAATATAAAATATTGAAGCAAGTGTAAGGAACTGGATGATGTCTGCAAATACTGTACCATGATGCTCACTGGTCCCATGTTATTGTTTTTTCAAACTACTTTGATGTACAGTTAAAAAACTATAAACTCCTTCATAAATTAGCACTACAGCATCAGAAAGAGCCTAAAGAGATGGCTCTGCCAGTTGGCTCGGGGCCCCAGTGAGGGAAAAGCACAATGGGGATGGTTGATTGAGTAATAACAGATCCCTCTCCCCCCCACTCCTCCCCACCCTCCCATGTGACTTTGGTTTTAAGGTTTCATTTTAACTTTTTATGTTCTTAGATGTAACTGTAAGCCACCCAGAGTTATTCTATGATAAGACCGGCAGCCAATAAATTTTATTTAAAAAAACAACAAATAAATAAATAGTTGCAAATCCAGATCATGTGACCATGGTTAGATGCATGGTTAGTGACCTTGCTGCTGCAATGGCCACAATTTTGCAGATGTAACTGGTGCAAAGATCCATAAAATTTCAATTATATGAGAGCTTGAATAGATTCTTTATGTTAACTCATTTGAGATACCTTGATTCAAAAATTGTTGTCCTGTAATGCACCTGTTTGTCCAGTTGAAGTTGGACTGGGCCAGTGCACCAGTTGAAGTTGAATAGAAGCTGCCTGGCCAAAGTTCCCATCTGCCATTTAGTTGTGAGTCCAGGAGAACTTTTAACTCATGAACCTACTCTTTCTGGGGTAGTGTGACTTTGTCCAGAATAATTCCAAGAACAGATGTTACAAGTTGTCACAATGTTTATTGATAATAAATGTCTTGGTAGTATTTAATCTATTGTTGTTTTGCACCATCCAGTCACTGGCCATTATATCCTTAATTATTTGACACATGGAGCTGATTAACTTCATATGTCACATTAATCTGTAATTTGGTTGTTTAAACTTGTTTTATTAATCCAACCTTGCTCTTATTTGACAAAACATGGCAAAACTAATTTTGATTTTCTACAATATGAAAACCCAACCAGTAATTGAGACATTTCTATAAATGTTATACAGAGGTGGCATTCAGCAGGTTCTGACCAGTTCTGGAGAATCGGTAGTGGAAATTTTGAGTAGTTTGGAGAACCAGTAAATACCACCTCTGACTGGAGATTTTACAGTATCCTTCCCCTGCCACACCCACCGAACTGGTAATAAAAAAATTTGAATTGCACCACTGATGTTATAGCTCTGTGTATTATTGTGCATAAGAACATGTCATTCTAGACCTGTGATGGCAAACCTATGGCACGTGTACCACAGGTGGCATGCAGAGCCATTTGTGCGGGCACGTGAGCCATAGCCAAACTTACCTGCACTGTGCATACGTGCGTCTCCTGGCTGATTTTCAGCCCATTTGAGGCCGTTTTTACCCTCCCGGAAGTGTGAGGAAAGCCTCTGCAGCCTTTGGTGGCAGAAAAACAGGCCCATTTCGTCACTTCCTGTATTTCCAGAAATACCGGAAGTGACAAAACAGGCCCATTTTTCAGCCTCCAAAGGCTGCAGAGACTTCCCTCAAGCATCTGGGAGGCCAAAAGAGGCCTCAAACAGGTTGAAAATCAGCTGGGAGGCGCACAGTGCAGGTAAGGGGAGGCGGAATGGGATCGCGCGAGCATGTGTTGGGGATGGGGTGGGGGGCATGCACGCATTGCCTTCTGGGTGCAGGCATGCGAGCGCGCGCACACAAGTGCACACACAATTTTCGGCACAGGAGCCCAAAAAGGTCAGCCACCACTGTTCTAGATCCTTTGATAAGGTGGCATACATATGTGTGTGTGTGTATGTATGTATATGTGTGTGTGTGTGTGTATTGATTCATTCATTCTATTTGGGGAATAGAATACAAGAATGTCTTGTAGCAATGTAAATGTGAAGATTAAGTTGTGATGAAAAACAAAAATTTGATTTATCTTTATTAAAATATTTATAAATGGTCTTAAGTCATAAGACTCTTAAGATGATATAAATGACATTTTTAAACATTTTTTTAGACATTTTTTAAAGTAACAACTTTAAAAACAGAACTAAAATCTCTATGAAATTAAAGTAGATAACCGTTCTTAAAAGACCAAACTGAAATGATTTTTCCTTCTAGCAGAAGTTGAGCAATGGAGAGGCTAATCTACCATCTCAAGGTTCATTAAAAAGTTGGATTTGCACATGGCTTTTCTATCTTAATAAAGTTATGAAATAAAGACCTTAAAAAGCTGTTTCCTAAGCATACAAATCACTGTTTGGCAGCATATAAAGAATTTAGCTGTGCAATGTAATGAGAATTTCTAATTCATTCGGTACAAAGAGATCTGATCAAAATGAGTGTATCCAACTTAACTCCTGCAGGAGAATGAGACCTTTTCTTTGGAACTTTGGAAAGTTTCAAATACATCCTAGGTTTTTACCAAGTAATGCTTGCTCAGGATATCTTCTGAAATGCGCAGCTATTCAGGACCATGTGAGTAAGTATTCTGAATCACAAAGTATGTTGTAATTGGTACCTTTTTGACAGCCTCAGCAGAGTTTTAAGTTGTATTATTTCTTCATCAGATTAAAGTTATAATATATTAATTAACAATCTATTTTCAGCCTATGCTGCTGCAGTTTGTACAGTACCAGTATATATAGGATAAAGGAATCTCTTCTCTAAAATTTGTTGATTTGATTCTGTTTGTACATATTTAATAGATTTGCAGAAAAGCTTTGGGAGACAAATAACTATTATTTGTGACATGTGCTACTAATTCCTACGTCATCAAACCTTACAATGGTCTTGAAAATCTTATTGCTTTAGCATTTGGAAATTTATCTGCTGACTGTCATGTTGTTTCAGTGTCTGACACAAACCACAAAGATGTTGTTTTTACTTTTGCCCTGTAAGTTTCCCACTGTAATCTCTGATCAAGAGATTGAAGCCAGGGGTGGCCTAACCACTTGAGTTATCCTGTTACGTACCAATTAGTGGCAGTGACCAAGGTGTCTAAATTATGCACAGGAATTAAAATATTGAAAGCAATCTAGTAAAAAGGGCTCTGTTTTGTGGATTGTAGGATTGCTTAACATTTGATTCTGTAATTTTTACCCAGACTTGATCTAGGGTGGATTTAAAATTTAAAAAAGGAACAACTGAAGCACATGTGATTTAGGCTAACTTTTACTTAAACAAGAGAGTGTTACAGCAGTGCTTGTTTTGTGCTGGCTATTATTTACTTGCTTTTTACTGTATAATAAAAAAGGAAAAGTGCTGGAAATGGTGTTTCAATCGCTGTGCACAGATTGCCTTTCTCAATATTTGTCAATTCATTTTTGCACTCAAAATTTTAATCTAATTTTGTTTGGCTGGTGTATGACTTGGCCTGCGTTTTGCTGTGAATACATAGAAAGGCTATCCATGTTTAATGGTTAGTAAGGATTATTTCTCAGCTGAGTTTTTTTTATGATTTTCCAGTATCTAAGTAAAAAGGGGAAAATTATTTATTTGTTTATTTATATTGGGAAAAAATGCAAATGTACTTGGGAAGCTGTAATTCTACTTTATAAATAATGAAAAAGGATACAGCAAAGGAAAAAGGTAATGTCATTCACATTTCCCGTCTGAGTAAATACCTTGACCCCAATATGGAAAAAAAAGAATTCAGAACTCAGTCTTACATATAGACTATGCTCCTTAAAAAGTTCTAATGAATCAATTGACTTCAATTAAAACACAATTGCTTAAAACCAATAGTCTTTCAAGAACTTAGTTCTGCAAAAAGCAGGAAAAAGAAATTAAAATCTCTAAATGCCCAATTCCATTTCACCTCTTTAACTGTCTGAATAATTTAAATCCATGACTAAAAGTGACACTATGTTTTTATTCATGGGTGTGAATGTGTGAGTAAATTAAAATTATAACTCAGGAAGCAAATTGATATGATTGTGTCAGGCATGAAACAAGATTTTCAATTGCAAAATTGACAATTTGATTACTGTTTTATAGAAAGAGATTGAGAAGAAAACTCCCAATTAAAACTGGATGTTAGCCTACACTGGCTTATAATGATTGAGCTGAATTGTTAGGACATCACAGTGATATAAAAGGAAGGAAAAGATGTGTCACTTGATACTACTGTCTAATGCTCAGCAAATAAGTGCAATATTGTACATATAACCTACCAATATGAATACATCTATTTATAAATGGCACAACTGTTTGTACCATTTGATATTATTCTATTAGTATTTTTGAGTTATACTCCTGAGATTGTGTGGGTGTGTTCTCAAATGCTTTTAGTTTGTGAGTAAGTGAATCAATAGCATTATCAGGTCATAAGGCATATTCTTACCCTTATCCTATTTTTTTTATAGATCTACTGGAAAAGACTATCAGGAAGGAAAAAGAAATATGTACACTTCAGGTATTTCCATTAATTGGACTGTACTGTGATGCCTATTAATAGGAGGTAGACTATAAGGCTTAGTGATATAATGTAACCCCCTGTACCCTTCTAGTCCAAAGGTCATATCTTAATATATGCTGGTTGGAACAAAAAACCCAGAATTACATTAGTTATCTGAATGTTTCTGAGCCCAGGTTTAATTCCCTAGCCTAAGAGCCTAATGATACCTTTTAAAAGGACAGGTCTGAGCTAGATGGTACTTCCCCCCATCCTACCTTTTAACCTTTACAGATTAAACTATGACTATCCCAAACTACTTGTTTCACAAAGTGTTTCATTGTGGTTTGACAATGATGGCTCAGCACTTGGACTGGGTGGGTATTGGTTTCTGGTTGGAAGCCAATAATTACATAATAAAGCCAACTTAAGCAGCTTGTAGCATTTCCCATGTGTTTTTAGAATTTGCTGTTGTCTGATCTATATCTGAGACACAACTGAAATTTAGGTTATGTTTTCTGTGGCCTTCGGATAATGGAGCCAGCCCATCAGCAAAAAGAGATTTCCTTCACACACACATACATAACCAAAGCTGTATTTAATTTGTTTATTTTGGAAATTCACACACATTTACACGCGCACACACACACACACACAGGGTTATATTGGTAAGATTGTTTTATGTGGAAGTGTTAAGAATAGAACAGACGACATTCTTCTGAAGAAAAAACCCTAAAAACCATTTATTTAAAATATATGAATATAATATTAATACACTGCTTTCTGGCAGTTAGAAAAAAAATAGAAATTTCCATAGCACTTTTTAAAAAATCTAGAAGATTGTTTTTGCTTTCAAAATCACTCTTTTTAGCAAGTTTCCATATTTATTTCTCTTATAGCTGTATAAAGGTTATGTTTTAACTCTTTGTACTTTCTTACACATTAGTTAAAAGTATTTGTAAAGAATGAATTGTAAACTGAGCAGTTCAGTAATCAATTTTTTCTTTCCTTTGACTCATATGTGTCACCATTTTATCAAAGTTAAATTTGTATTCAAGTAATCTGTACTTGTGCCTTTGGTTTTTCCTGCCCAGGTGTAAAACCTTACTTTTCTCTACATTAAATTTCATTTTGTTGGCTAGGGCCCATTGTTCAAGTCTGTCAAGATCTTTTTGGATCCTGAGCTTGTCTTCTTGAGTGTTGGCTATTCCTGCCATCTTAGTGTCATCTGCAAATTTGATGAGTTTCCTTTCTATTCCCTCATCTAAGTCATTTATGAAGATATTGAAGAGTACTGGCCCTAAGATGGAACATTGTGGTACCCCACTGCTTACTTCTCTCCATGTAGATGTAGTACCATTAAGGACTACTCATTGTGAAAAAGTATATGGAGATTCTCAGTCTTCTTTGGGACATACTTGTTGAATATGATTTGTCAGCCAGTTATAAATCCATCTGTTGGTGATGCTGTCTATCCCACATTCTTTTAGGTTACCAAGAAGTAGGTTGTAGTCTACTTTGTCAAATGCCTTGCTGAAGTCTAAATATACTATGTCTACAGCATTTCGCTGGTCTACTGATTTAGTCACTTTGTCAAAGAATGAAATAAGATTGGTTTAGCATGATCTGATTTTAACAAATATTCTGGCTATTAGTTATAACTTTATTTGTTTCTTGATATTCACATATCTGGTTTTTTATTATTTTTTCCAATGCCATCCCAGGTATTGATGTTAGGCCGATTGGTCTGTAGTTTTCTGGGCCTGTTCCCCCGCCTTTTTTTTAAAGATGGAAACCACATCAGCTCTTTTCCAATCCTCTGGCAGTTCCCTGGTGCTCCAAGATGTTTAAAAGATATGATACAATGGTTCTGAGATAACATCTACTAGCTCCTTCAGAACTCTGGGATATAATCCATCAGGTCCCAGTGATTTATATTCATCAAGGGCAGACAGGTGTTCTCTTATCATTTTCTTATTTAGTTTTTATTTCTAGTCTGTCTTTCATAGTATTTTTGTTAGATTCGGCTATAGTTTCTTTTGTGTGAAAACTGATGCAAAGAATGAGTTAAGCAGCTCTGCTTTCTCTCTACTGCTTGTTACTTCCTTGCCATCTTCTCTCTTTAGTGGACCAACTGTTTCCTTGACTTTTTTTCTTGTTATGTATATGTTGAAAGAAACTTTCTTATTATCTTTATTTTTATAATTCTTTATTATCTTTATTATCTTTACATGGATACTTTTAAACATTAAAAAGGATCAACTATCCCACTTTAATTTGATTTTTGTTAGCTGTCTCTTTCCTTTGACTTCATGTGATCTGATTCTAGATCATTTAGTGTACTCAAAATTATTTCCTGAATCTGTTCCAAGCTATTAACAGACCTCTTACCTAGAACTGTATCCAGGCTTCCCTCTGAGGACTTACGAACACTGGATACAACCACTATAATTACTTCCCAAATTTTGGAAGCAATGTAAACTGCAGTGGTGTTTAGTTTTCTCCATTCTAGCACATAATCAAAATGTTAGTCTTTCTAACCTCTAAATCAGACAGACAGACAACTGACTAACTGAATGAATGAACCAGGGTCACTCAAATTGTAAGGATATATAATATATACTTTTATTTTGTTGTGGATCTTTGGTTATTCGGGTTTTCTCCCGCGTAAGATTGGAAGTATCTAGGCAACGTTTCGATGAAGTCTCATTCATCATCTTCAGGCTTGTGTCTTCCGCTCTGTGCTTCTCAGAGTGAATTTTATTTTATTTTGTTGTGTATAGATTGAGCATGCAAGATTATGTGTGGTCATAACATTGTAAATATAAAAGCGTATGTGCTAATTTCAGGTGTTGATAGTATAGTCTTGAATCTTACAACTTTAACACAGGAGTTGTTCCAAGAAGATATATTGTATGTAGCTCTGGTTTGAATAGTGCAATCCTTGGTGCTCTATGAGCTTGTTGTTTGCTTACAGATGTTTTATTACCCAACTATGAAAACCATCAGTGCTAGTAAATGTGGGGTTTGCTACTTATTTATCAATAAAAGCTTGGTGGTCCAAGGTTAGGTGTGGTGTGATTTTCTCCTTGGTAATTTAACCAAGCAACCATCTTTATGTAGACCAAGCAAACAACCAAGATTAGAGAGCATCAAGGACTCCACAGAGATTGTAGTATTTGTTGTGTTGCTATTTTTATTGTTTAAGAATGGGTGGACTTCAGTCTTGCAGGAATTTTTGTTGTTATTAGAAGATTGAGGTCTGGCATTATTGTTCAGATGCAGAATAATGGTAGAAGGGGATAATCTACTCCATTCCCCTTTAATAGTCATCCATCCGATATGAGAAGAGACTAAGATCTTTATTCAATAACTTCAAGAATTGGTCTCTAAATGTTCTTGTTTTTCCTGTTGTACCACCTTTACCTTTTATAACATACTTTTTTAGAAGAAAATTCCAAGAGCAAAGGCTGTTTCCTTCACTGTTTGTAAATAATTGTCATCTCTGTGATATAGACCAAGTCAGGAAACAGTCACCACAAGAACTATTGTAACTCTACTTTATTGCTAAAGGATATAATAATAGAATCTTGAAACCTTAACAGAGTTTTCATCCCCCCACTTATACAGAAGAGAATCAAGGTGGAACATTGTAGAATTTCTTTCTCCTTCCTCCCATTCAAAGCCAAGATGGCATTTACACTGTTAAATTCCTTCTTTAAGGCTACCTTCATGCTTTTCCACACAAATTTTGCTGAGTTTAAAACCCATACATTCCTGCTGAAGTGTGGACCAAAAATAAAAAAAAATAAAAAATATATAACCACAACTGTAAGTGGTAACTATGGGGACGGCAAATCCCTTTTCCTTGTCAATACAACATGAAATAAAGTGCATCTCTGACACTTTAAAAATATTTACAATATTTTCAAACAATACCTATAAAATTGGATAAGAAATTTTTTCAGGAATTAGATAGGACGGTAATGAAATTTATATGGATGGGGGGAAAAGCACGAATAAAATTGAAAGTGTTACAAGATAGTAGAACCAGAGGCAGCCTTGGATGCCCAAAATGGGAAACATTATCAAGCAGCAATTTTACTATGGGTTAAGGAGTGGATAAATTTAAAAAATAAAAGAATTTTGGAGATAGAAGGTCATGACCTCCAAATTGGGTGGCATGCCTTTCTATGGGATAAAAAAAATAAGATCCACTCCTATTTCCATAGACATTCGATAAGGGACTCACTTTTACAAACATGGGAGAAAATTTTAAAAAAGCATTATTTGAAAAGACAAAACTGGATCTCACCTATGGAAGTTATATTATATCCAAATACAGGGGACATTTTAAAAATGATTAGATATGGCTTCTGGTTTGAGCTTCTTCGGCGACAGACTGAAATCTGCGATCGTGCACAGTTTCGATCTGTGTTCGCCGCTGGAGCGCCCCGAGCCAGCTGGTTTTGGGGCTAAGCCACCCCGTAGAGGTGGTGAAGAGGGGGGATAATGCCAGCAGGGTCAAGGAGAGTCGCATCGCTCCACCCCAGCTGGCCATTACTCCCTTTCCCGAAGGCGGTTGCAGTGGTGGTCAGAAATGGCCGACTCAAAGAAGAACTTGACTGGAAAAGAATGTGCAGGAGGAAGATAAGAAGAGAAAGTTTTGGCTGTCCAGGTTGAATTGAAAAAGCAACAATATAAGGTACCCTGGAATTTGAATTATAAAGAACAACATTGTTCCCAAAGAAGACTTTGAAGCGGCGAATGAGCGAGGAAAGGGAAAGGATTTGGGTTGTTTTCTTTTCTTCCCTATATTGACAACTAAGAGATTTAAGCAAGAAACCGGCAAAAATCCACTTTGACATTAACAGGTATTTAAGCTGAAAATAAAATGTCAAAGGGATAATAAAGATTTCTGGATTCTCAAAAACTTTTAAAAGAAGGAAAAAAACAAAAGGGTGGGATCTGGAAAAATGGAGGAGACCACCTGAAAGTGAAAGGAATTAACATTGAAACTT